TTATTACTGTGTAATGGTTTTGTTATTGAGGAGGAAGAACAAAAATTGGATTTTTTTTTGGTAAAGAAGTAGGAATTTGTTTTCAAAACACACAAATATTTTCTAATTTGCTGAGCTCTTTAACTAATTTTACTAGTTTTAAGGATAGAGCAAAACAAATGGACACGAGTAAAGAAAATTAAGAAAAAATTAGGGAATTTTTGTCATTTAAATTAAGAAAAATTCTATTAAAAAAAAAATTGTATTTATCTAAGTTTGAATATCACCTCCCTTTGTTATTAGTGTGATTAATGATTTTTTTTTTTTTTTTTCTATTTTTTATTTTTTATTTTTTTTATCTTTCTATTATCAGTCTAACATCATGTAAAAGTATCTAAAACTTGCTTCTTTAATTTAATTTTTGGGTAAAATACAATTACACCCCTGAAGTTTGACAAAATGACACTCAGAGGAAATTGACCTGTTTTTTTGGACAAAGACACCCCTGAAAGTTCAAAAATGGACAAAGATACCCATTTACATGAAAAATTGACCAAATTACCCTTTGACCATTTATGAGACTTTTTTAACTTTACAATTTAATAAATTGGACTAATATACCCTCATAAATAATTTATGCATAAAAAAAAAGTAAAAAAAAAAAAACTTTATATTGTTAACTTTTTTTTTTTTTTTTTTAAATGTCCTAACTTCTTAAAAATGTTAGAGTTTAAAATGATTTTTTAATTCAATACATATATTTCAAATAAATTATATTTTGTTATTACTTCTTTTCTTTTTCTTTTTTATTTTTAAATTAAGATGCTTAATTTTTTCATCTAAAAAAATTAAACCAATCTCTTTTTCTTAAAAATAAAAAAAAGAAAATAGGTACTAATATAACTTTATGCATCTTAACTTTATGCTTGCCTTTTTTTTTTTTTCCCTTTGTTTTATTATTCCCCCCCCTCCCGGTTTTATTATTATTATTTTTTCCTTTTATGTTGGGAAATACATAATATTTTATATATAATTTAAGATGTATAAAGTTATACTGGTACCATATATGAAAGAATTAAGTATCTTAATTTAAAAATAAAAAAGAAAAAGAAAAGAAGTAATACCAAAATATAATTTATTTGAAATATATGTATTGGATCAAAAAATCGTCTACATTTTTAAGTAGTTGGGACATTTATAAAGTAAATAACAATTTTTTTTTTGTTACTTTTTTTTTATGCATAAATTGTTCATGAGGGTAGATTGGTCCAATTTATTAAATTGTAAAGTTTAAAAAGTCTCCTAAACGGTCAAAGGGTAATTTGGTTAATTTATTATGTAAAGGAATGTCTTTGTCCATTTTTAAACCTTTAGGGATATCTTTATTAAAAAAAAACAGGTAAGTTTTGAGTTTTCTTTTGACAAATTTCAAGAGTGTGACTGTATTTCACCTTAATTTTTCTATTTGTTGATATATTGGGCGGTGGTTCAGGGAAAAAGGGGTCTGCACATAAACATCCAAAGAAAAAGAGCATCTACTTATTATTACAACACGTTAAACAAGAAAATTTAATTTCCATGTTTCCCATATTAGTCGTAGTTATCATCTCTATCATCCAAATCTGTCATAGGTCATACATATCTCACCAAAAACGTCTATTTATTAGAGTTTTAAACCACACACAGTCCCACCATCTAATATGTGAATCTACTCATTGACGTAATAAATGCTTGAAATGCTTGCTGCATGTCAAAGGCGTTGTTTTAAAAGCGGACCTACCATGTGGTTTCTGTGGCCTTTATGCAAAAGGATCATCAAGTAAAAATAGAACATGAAGGTCATGGTCAGAAAAAAAATAAGTAATTATTTTCTTTCTACATAAGAATTCATCATAGTTCTTACACAAATCCAAATTCTTGTTAGGTTTAGCGTTAAAAGTTTAATAAATTCAAATTCTTGTTGGTCCAACAATAAAAGTTTAATAAATTGGATCATGGTTCATCGACATGTATTGGATATGACATATAATTTATTTTTTTGTTAGATTATGTGATTTGATATGTGTTCTGAGTACTTTTCAAGGGTGAAAACAACCCTTACTGAAAATAATAAAAGAAAAAAAGGTTGTGTAATAAGAAATTATTTACTCAACTCGCCAAATTTCTCACGGGAAAAGAAGGAATGGATGAACTCATTGAAATGGTTTGAATGCCAACAACCAGGATATGAGCTGTCTAGCGACCACTAGCATAAGTGTTTAATGCTATTGGTTCATATGAGGATGGCAAATATTTTTATTGTATGATATTAATCCTGCCTATTTTAAAACTGTTCTCAACAAATTCGTATATTAGATTTGTATTGAGTGAACATACCAATGAACGTGATATATTGAATTTACTTGAAACCTATAGAGCAAAGCACTAAAGATCTAACTCTTTATCATTCTCACAAAGCTGTCACGCCTAAGCGGATCAATTAAATTGGGGTAAGAAGAAGATATGAGAGAAAATAGAGTTAACCTTTAGTCCTTTCCAGTTGACGGAAACAACTGAATGAGGTCATGTTCTGTTGACGGAATCAAGTGAATGATTTCACGTTTGGCATCATGAAAATCAATGTGTACGTATTGAAAATTTTATGTGGGCTCAATTGATGCCAAGTTATCTTGTGAGTGACTGGAATGGGCTGGAGAGGCTCATTTGGAACAATGTCGTCTAAGCCAACTAGTCTGGTTAACTTCGTTTTGATTTCCTGCGTTCCTTCGTCAATACACAGGGCAAGGAGGGGGAAAGGGATAGATGAGAAGACTCAATGGCCTTCGCCCAACTCTTGAATTTATCTACTAAAATTAGATACAACTATCAATAGATGAATGAATTAATTACGCTGTGTTTGGGGTTTTTTTTTTTTTTTTTTTTTTTGAAGGCAAATTGCATAAAAAAAACCCCTATTGACTTGTAGCGTTTTGAGTGAATCTCTTTTTTAATTTTTTATTTTTTATTTTATAACAAAGTACCCCTCTAACGGATGGGGTTGCTTTTACTAAAACACCCCTACCAAGTCGGGGGATTTTATGCAATTCGATCAATGATATATAATATATAATATAAATTATCCCTCGCCCCCGAAAGAATGTCCATTTTTAGTAATTTAACTTTTAAGATGATGAGTTTTAGTATTTTTTTATTATATTGTTAGTGATTGAATTATCAAATTATTTATAGTGGGTGCCATAGGAATGTGATGGTTTAATTTTTATAAATTCAATACAAGAAAGTTAAATTGGTAATATTACAAAAAAATAATAATAATAATAATAAAATATTACTTTAACTTTTGAAATGAGACATTTATTTTGAAATAACAAAAAATGGAAAGATATATATATATATTTTTGGACAGATGTAGCATAGATAGTGTAGTGGAGGGGGGTTACACAATATATTATTTATATATAATTAAATGAATTGCATAAAATAAATAAATTAATTAATTAATGAAAAGAGAGTTTAATGTAAAACGTTACAAGTCAAAAGAGGTTTAATGTAATTCGCCTTATCTATAAACATGATTTTTTATATATATATATTTTTCATTTTTTCAAAACAAAACTTAATTTTTTTTTTCATAATTTTTTTTAGTAATAATAAAAATATAACCTCTACATAAATTTCTTCATACAAAATGTTATCCTTACCTTAAAATATAAGAGGCTTATGAGCTGCAATGATGCTTTAATTTAAAAAGGAACCACTATGATTACCCACATTTGGATATAATTGGAATTTTTAATGAAGCCTAAAATGGAAAATGGCAAGAGGAACCAACGCATGTAGATAGGATTACGTATTAAGTAGTGTTAATTAACTAAACTGATTACCAAAAAAAACAAAACCAGAGAAGCATTTTGGTTTAATGTGAGTGGCACTCACTCCTACCATCCTCCTGCGCTTTAAAGCTTCAATAAAAGGGAATGATGGTTGTTCTCTCTCTGTCTCTCTCTCTCTCTATATATCTTCTCACTCACTCCCTTACCCACCCAATACACACACACACAAACTCACACTCAGTGGACAGATACAAGCGTGTCCCTTTCTTTCCCTGTTTTCTGCACATTGCTCATCCTTTTACTATCCAACAGCAGTTTTTTCCCCAAATTAACGGCGGTTTTAAGCTCCTAAGCTCTCAATATATACATATACATAAACATATATGTGTATGTCTATCTATATACACATATATAATGCCGTGTATTTTCAATCGGCATGTATGTTAACAGTTGATGCAAAGAAATAGCCAATTTCAGCCGAGCAGGGTTGTACTTACGGATCTGCGAATTTTAATGGTGTGTTTTTAAGAAATGTGGTTTGAGCTCTCTATTTTCTCAGTAAATTGGCTCATACTTAAGCCTAGAAAGGGCTTCCATGGCAACGTTGGAGCTCAAACGAGTCGACGGTGACTCCTGACCGGAATGTTTCAAGGTTTGCTCCGTTACCTTCAATTCTCTAAGTCCAATAAATATATCTCTATTTAATATGTATATATACATTTATATATATACACACACATGGCAGCAGCAGATCTGAGTAAAAAATGATGAAATTTTAAATTCTCTGAAGTTAATTTTGTTGACAGCTCTGGCATCAAATTCTGAAGGATACAAATATCTTCTTGCTGAAATCTTTGGTTGTAAGCGTTTGATCTTTTTATCCCTATGTCAATTTTTTAGTTGAGGCTAGTGCTTATCTGAATCTTTATATTAGAATTTACTTTTAGTAAAGTGTATACAAAAATATTCTATCTGAATCAGTTAGGTTGTTTATAGCTTAATTAAAAAATTGACATGGTCTGTGATAAGCTTTGCAATTCTTAATCACTTTCCACTTAATACTACTTTAATTGTGGTTTAACTTTTCCAACTAACCCAGCAAGTCAACTGCAATATTAGGAAGGGAACGGTAGGCATTTACTAAATTCCTGCTCTCTCTCTCTCTCTCTCTCTCTATATATATATATATATAATATATATACACACACACGCACCCATTTGCCTAGGATGCTCATGAAAGAAAAGGTTTGGTGACTAATAATGAATTGACTTCTCCACTCCAATTGTAGTGAATCTAGGGTTTAAATTATCAACAATGTTAATATATCCATCTCTTTTAGCATCTGCGTAAATGTTTTTTGTGTTGACAACTTTACGAACAATACTTTGGCTTCTTTGATCCTAAAAGCTTAAAAACATAAAATTCACCGCTGAGTATCTATTCCATGTTATCTTCACCAAAATCATCAGAATATATAAGTTGTTCTCTTACAAGTTAAAATTGCATTTTAAGTTGTTTAATAAACGAGAATGTGTGTGTACTTTATGCTTTCCCTTTTTCATTTTTTATATGACTTTTTATTTTTATAGTATTATATCCACTTCTTAATCATCTAAATTACTCTAATGGAAAATGTGTTTAGAAGGTGATGGAAAAAGCGTTGTTCCTTGCCTTTGCCTTTTTTTTTCTTTCTAAGATGCCTTTGGCTCTTGCTTTTGAATAGTGGTTTCTTTATTTTGTCCTTTTTGTGACTTCGTTATAAATGCTACAGAAATAGGGATGTATAGGTACATTGCCTTGGTGGTATAATTCTCTAGAAAATACCCTCTGAAAGATACTTTATTATTTAAATTTTAGAAACATGTTTCAAACCATTAATCATTCAGACACTTAAAAGCTTTCAGCCCTTCTCTACTATTCTATGAGGAAACACTAGTGCCCCTGTTATGGATGCCCTCAGACATCATGCTCATAATATTTTTTTTCCTTTGAGATTATATACTTTATACTTAGAATCATAGCTTTTGATGTTCTCGACCTCCCTAATGGTTAAATTATTGTCATATATCAGCTAATGGGAGGATGCTGCTGTTCTCTAAAAGTATGAAGTAGTATAAACCTATTGGCAGGTGTGTATATGTTTGTGTGATTTAATTTAACTCAACAAATTCTTTTCCCCAACTACTTGAGAATGTTTGTGTGATTTGCACACCAGCAGAAGAAAAGAAAAAAAAAAAAAAAAACAGAGTAGGTGGATTTCTTGACTGCTGTTTGTATTTGGCAGCTAAAGAGAGTTATTGGTCTCTGCTTTTGGTTTGAAATTTCTGACATGAATCATGATGTACAACATTTCAGTTTCAACTGGAAACTTAGAAAGAGTAAAACCTGAGAGTATATAGTGTTATTCAGGGTAATATGGATAAAGAGATGGGTAATATGGTTTTTATGTATTTATTTATTTATTTTTCCTATTTCCAGTTTTCAGCTCTCCGCCAGGGTGAATAATTTTTTATTAAACAATCTATTAGCAGCTGCGAATTTTTGGCAAGTTCGAACATGTTGAAGTTATGGGATTATCTTCAAAGAGGGATGGAATGCAGTTGTGTTTTTTTTGTAAACATTTCTGCTGATCACAAAGCCTATGTTATGAATAGAAACATAGGTGAAGTACATTTTACATAACTGTTCGCTTCTATAAAATGTTTTTGCTTCTATGCTCTTTTAATTTCTGCACTAGTGCATGGGAAAAGCTTGTTGCTTTTCTTTTCCTAGTTGTGAATTATGTGGTGGTTAATGGTACAATTCATGTTTGCGAGAGACTATGTTGACTTTATTTCCTCATTCTTTTATGATTGACTTTAGTTTCTTCATATTGCTAATTAGCCACTTAAAGCTAATTCTATTCTCTTCTATTAAAGCAGGAAACCTGTAAGAGTGACACCAACTTCACTTTCGTATGCCTCATGCTGAAAAACTCCTCATGAAACGCTGCTCTAGTTTTCCATTGCTTCCTTCCATTTTAGTCATTGTCAGTATTCTTCCTCTGGCTCTTGCCGACCTGAACTCAGATAAACAAGCCCTTCTTGCCTTTGCTGCTGCAGTCCCCCATGGTCGGAAACTTAACTGGAACCCTGCTACCTCCACTTGCACATCTTGGGTGGGCATCAATTGCACTTCAGATGGCACCCGCGTGCTTAAACTTCGACTTCCCGCTGTTGGACTCACTGGCCCCATCCCAGCCAACAGTCTTGGGAAATTAGATGCGTTAAGGGTTCTCAGCCTTCGATCCAATCTCCTCAATGGAACTCTTCCTTCTGATATCCCCTCCCTTCCTTCCCTACGCTACCTCTTTCTCCAACATAATAACTTCTCTGGTGATATTCCAACCTCCTTTTCCCCCCAACTCAATGTTCTGGATCTCTCATTTAATTCCTTCACAGGAAACATTCCACTAACAATTCAGAATTTGACACAGCTCATTGGATTGAATCTCCAGAACAACTCTCTTTCTGGACCCATTCCCAATATCACTGTTTCAAGGCTCAAACGTTTGAATTTAAGCTACAACCATCTTAATGGCTCTATCCCACCGTTCCTCCAAAAGTTCCCCAACTCTTCATTTGTAGGAAACTCTCTCTTGTGTGGACCACCTCTAACTGCTTGCTCTGTCATACTCCCTCCGCCTTCTTCCCCCATTTACCTTCAACCCCCACCGAAAGTCCCTCAAAAACAGAAATCAAGAAAGAAACTCACAAAAGGAGCAATTATTGCCATTGCAGTTGGAGGGTCCGTGGTGCTGTTTCTTGTGGCTCTAGTCATAATCTTGTGTTGTTTGAAGAGAATGAATAGTGAGGGCAGCATTGTGCTGAAAGGAAAGGTTTCCAGTGGTGGGAGGAGTGAGAAACCAAAGGAGGAGTTTGGGAGTGGGGTGCAAGAGCCTGAAAAGAACAAGCTGGTTTTCTTTGAGGGCTCTTCATATAATTTTGATCTTGAGGATTTGCTGAGGGCATCAGCTGAGGTCCTTGGAAAGGGAAGTTATGGGACTGCATATAAGGCTATCCTGGAGGAGGCAACTACAGTAGTTGTAAAACGGTTGAAGGAAGTAGTGTTGGGGAAGAAGGATTTCGAACAACATATGGAGATCATAGGGCGAGTTGGGCAGCATCCTAATGTTGTGCCGCTCCGTGCTTATTATTACTCCAAGGATGAGAAGCTCATGGTTTATGATTATATTCCAGGTGGCAGCTTGTCTGCGCTCTTACATGGTACGCTCCTCCACTTTATCTTCTATAGTTGTTTGTGCGTGCGTGTGCGTGTGTGTGAGAGAGATCATTTGAGTTGCCTCTTTATTTATCTGTGAATCATCGAATTAAAATTTGATTTTGTTCATAAAAAACCCGAACTTTTTACACACTGTACATGAAAAAATAACAGAATTTTCATTTATTAATTGAAAAGGAATTTATGCTCATTTTCCAACTCTTTGGGTTCAGGTGCATGATTCTATTTTTTAATTCTGCTCTAAGAACAGAATTTATGCCGGAATCCATAAAATCAGAATCATGCAGCTCTATTAGCTATCCTATGTTCTTCCTATAATCAAACTGCCGTAAATGTAAATCCAACTATATACTACTTTCATTGTCCCCTACTCTAAATTTCAATGCAATTACAGGAAACAGGGACAGTGGAAGAACTCCTCTAAATTGGGACTCCAGAATTAAGGTCTCCCTTGGAGTTGCAAGGGGCATTGCCCACATCCATTCTGTCGGTGGTGTCAAGTTTACTCACGGCAACATCAAGTCATCAAATGTCCTTCTCAACCAAGATGCAGATGGATGTGTCTCTGATTTAGGCATGACACCTCTTATGAACTTCCCTGCCACTCCATCTCGGCATCCAGGGTACCGCGCTCCTGAGGTGATTGAAACCCGAAAGCACACTCATAAATCTGATGTATACAGCTTTGGCGTCCTCCTACTCGAGATGTTAACAGGAAAACAACCAATGCAATCACCCGGGCGTGATGATGTGGCTGATCTCCCCAGGTGGGTCCAGTCAGTTGTGAGGGAGGAATGGACAGCTGAAGTTTTTGATGTTGAGCTGATGAGGTTCCAGAACATCGAAGAAGAGATGGTGCAGATGCTGCAAATTGCCATGGCCTGTGTGGCAAGGGTGCCAGACTTGCGGCCCAACATGGATGAAGTTGTTAGGATGATCGAAGAGATCCGGCAATCCGACACCGAAAACCGCCAATCATCGGAAGAAAACAAATCCAAGGATTCAAATGTGCAGACCCCATGATTGCCTTGAATGTTGTTTCTCTGGTGTATCAAGCTTCCAGTAATTATTTATCAGAAATTCATCTAATCCAAATACATGCCTCCTAAGGTTTGCTCCCAAGGATATTCAAACCTTACGAGCATGTGGTGTGAATCTATCTAATTTTGTGATTTTACTCTCTTTAGGAGGGGTTTTCGTTTCAGAATTTGTGTTAATAATTTAATTCAAAACAATTACAAGTTGATTGATCTTCTACCAAGGACTTTTGTTCATCATTATGACATATTGATTTGGCGGACTAAACCCCAATGCCAAACAAAATACAGTAATTAAACTAAGGGCAAAATGTAATTAAAGGAATTGGGATGTGGGATGTACAAACTTTACTTCACAAAAGCTGCAGTAGATAAAGGAAGGGGGTGTGACAGAGTATAAATCAAATTTGAAAGAGAACAAAGCAGTCCTTGATGTGGACTTAAAAGAATACTCCCACTTGATCAATTTTTTTTTAAAAAAGAACTATTTTCTTTTCTTTTTTTCATTCTTTTAAAACTAAATACAAGTATGAAAGAATTCCAAAAAAAAAAAAATCCCTTTTTACTCTGTCCAATAAAAAAATTTGCATGAAGACCCGTGTCATACTCTCATTGGCATAATATTGAATCTGATCGTCTTTATTTTATTTATTTATTTATTTATTGGCCTTTCCGTGGAACTCACTCCATCCAAACATATTTTACCCAATATTAACCAAAGAAGAAACGCCAAGTCAGCCCCCACAAAATATATAAAGGCACGCCATAATGTCGCCATTTATGACTTTGGCCCGAAGAGTCTAGAAGAAGTGACCTCAGTCTAATACTATTCTACTATACTACTAATACTAAATCAAATAGGAGTATTAGGAAATTAAAATTAGTGGACTTCCCATCATTGGATCTGAAATTGTTCTCTCCCCCTCTGTGATCTCCGTTCCATCGCAGAACATTCAATCAGGTCCTCTCTCTCTCTCTCTCTCTCTCTCTCTCTCTCTCTCTCTATATATATATATATATGCTCTCGTAATTTTTTTTTTTTGAATTTCGTATATATGTGGTCTGGAAGAAATCTAGGGTATCTATCACAGCTCCTATGAACTATTAATCCGATATTGAATTTTTTGGTGTGATTATATTGAGCAGTTTATTTTTTAGGGTTGATCAATTGGATTGTGTTTTTTATATGTATAAATTGGTCCTGGGTTTGTTTCTTTTGACTCACGATCTGGTGCTGATGTGTATGGATAGGTTAAGGATTTGATTTGAAGAGCTTGGAAAGCTGTTGTATTTATGGCATCAAAACGCATCTTGAAGGAGCTCAAGGATTTACAGAAGGACCCTCCTACATCATGCAGCGCCGGTATGTTGTTTATCCTCCCCTCCGTGTTTGTTTATTATTATTATTATTATATATGTGTATGTATATATGTATCTGCATAGTCATTGTGGCATATGAACTTAGGTGTTGTTGGATAAAACTGAAAATTAGGAACTGAAATTTCAAGTGGTAATTGACAATTGAGAGCCTTTGTATTACTTGTTTAAATTTTAATTGTTCAGAGTTCTCTCGCTTAAAATTTTACCCGATTTGTCATTAATAGTGGCATTCAAATTGCATTATTAAACACAATTGAGTAAGGACTTGATTTATTCAGAATTAGTTTTCAAACAACACCTTATTTCTTCCCAAATTTTGCCAGCAAAGATATTTTAAGAGCCCTATTGGTGTTATCAAAGGATTAAATAATGCAATTGGTGGATTAAATAATGCAATTGGTTCTTTCTAGTCCAAACTTTATGATGATCTCAACCTAAAATTACATGATTTAGGATCGAACTGATCAGCAAACCAGTAAATTAGGATTTGGTTGTTTACTTTATAAGAGTTGTCTGAGTTTCTCATTCAATAAACACTGTTGTAGTTCTAATGATCAGTTCCTGGATGGTTGTGATTATTTCAGTATTTCTTGGTTTCCATAGCCAATGATTAATGATTTCTTTTTTCTTCCCTTGTATCTGCCATGTGATTTAATTCCGGGTTTTAGATTGATAGCATGTTTGCATTCTATTTGCAGAGTTGCAAATGGGTGGTAATTGTCGGCTTGTGTGTGTTTGTTGTTGTTGTTGTGAGGATGGGGATACAAAAATGAGTTGTCCTTGATGGATTGTTGGGTTATTGAACTCATGATGGCAAAGTTAATAGTCTGGTCTGATTATCTTGAGTGGCTCCTTATTATTGTTGTTTTTCTTTCTTTGGTGGTGTGCTTACTTTACCATTTCCTTTTTCATGCTTCTAATGCTGTAAAATTGGACTGAGCTTATTAATCTATGACTTCTCCTTTCATTATTTCAGGTCCTGTTGGTGAAGACATGTTCCATTGGCAAGCAACAATTATGGGACCTACTGATAGCCCATATTCAGGAGGTGTTTTTCTAGTTTCTATTCATTTCCCTCCTGATTATCCTTTCAAGCCCCCCAAGGTAAATGTTTCTTTCTGGTGGTCTACCACATGTAGGTGTCTCTACTCTGCATTTTGTAACTTGTTGTCGCATTTTAATATAGAAGTAGCTTTCTTTGAAACTGCACCATCATAGCTATAATTACATTATTAGACTGTCATTTTCATTATCTTATCGTAGAAAAGAGATCTTTTAGTTAAAGTAGCAATATATTAGATAGTCAATGTCTTGATGAGACATAGGAATTGACTTTTTCACCATGAAGAATGTTATGTTTAGCAATACTAAACCAGAAAGGTAGGAACTATGATACCAAGAAGGCACTAGAGGTTAATGAGAAATATCTCTCTCTCTCTCTCTCTCTCTATATATATATATATATAGTCTTTGAGATAAATGATACCAAGACAACATTAGAGATGAATGAGAACCCTCCTCCAAAAGAAGTTGAAATAATCTTAAAACATTTTAAAAGAAAGAAAAACGGATGTTGCATTGATGAATCTCATATTCTTCAAAAACCAGTAATTTCTTTGGTTTATTGTTTTGGTTGAATTGAATGAAGTTAGGAATTACATAAAAATGATATGGTTAAAGCATGCATAGGCATCGTATTTTTTGAATGCATAGGTATCATATTTTTATGTTATATGCAATGCACATATAATACTTAGGGTATCATATTGTATGCTGTATGGCTTCAGTTGTAATATTGTTCACTTATGAAGTTCTATTCTGCTGTTGATTGGTTTATAATTAGTAATTTAGTTTCCTAAAGTTGTGTGGCAAATCTAATTGTTCCAACTTATGGTTTGTAAAGTTCCATAGTACACAAATTCAGGCATCATTTATGTTACTTAAGGGTTTTTTTTTTTTTTTTTGACAATGCCTTGAATTTCTATGATCATCTTGTTTCCAATGCTTTATTGATCTGAGAAGACAGTGGAATGGTGTAGGTTGCATTTAGGACTAAGGTATTCCACCCAAATGTTAATAGCAATGGTAGCATTTGTCTCGATATTCTGAAAGAGCAATGGAGCCCAGCATTAACCATATCTAAGGTTCAATCTATCTTCTTTTTCTTCTGTAATTTCCATCAAGGTCAAGATCTTTTTGGTCTTCGTCTTTGTAAATTTTGATTACTTATATATTGTAAATTTTTATATCTTAGTGGAATTGAGGCTGTTATTAGTTGTACGTTAAGATGATTTCCATGTTTTAGGTACTGCTGTCTATATGTTCCCTCTTGACGGATCCCAACCCTGATGATCCACTAGTGCCTGAAATTGCACACTTGTACAAGACTGACAGGGCCAAATATGAGTCCACTGCTCGCAGCTGGACACAGAAGTATGCAATGGGATGATAGGGAGAACACCATGAATTTCTGAAAGAAATTGCAACTATATGGTATTCCAATAACCTTGGGTGAAGATGAAACTGATGGTAAGGAAGCTTGTTCATTCTTCTCTCCCAAACATGAGCTTGGCAAGGAAGAAGTGGATATTAAGACATAATGTAATGACTCTGTTTTATTTTATTATTATCATTATTATTTTTTTTTTTCAGTAAAGGTGTTCTTTTATTTATTTCAAGTTAAAGTTAAAAGAATGTTGCTTATCCTTGGAAAGGCTGTTGTGTGGTGTACCATTAATGTTTTCAATTGGGTTTTAAGATTCTTGGAAATAAATTTGTTTTCAAAGTGAAAGAGTTGACTGATTCACCAATGCAATGGAAGGAAAACCTCATGCGAATATATCTAAAGCTTTTGCCATTATATAGCATTGCTCTGTTGGAAATGACTAATGGCAAGAAAGAACGATGGTTTATCTGACTTCCCAAACTATGGGTGCTGAACTGCTGATGGAAGTTGGTGATTATTTTTCAGAGGTATGCTGGGTGACAATTTGTGCTTTCTGTGGTGAGTTTAAAGGTGTTGGAGTGCTGTCTGGTTATCTTGGCATGCTTCACAATTTCCAGGTTTTGGGTCTTTCTTTCGCCTTTTTTCTGTTCTTCATTTCTCAATTACCGATTATCATCGTTATCCTCCCATTTATTCATTTTTTTGTTTTCACACCACTTTGATCTAGTTAAAGTATAAAGGCTTATGTTGCAGTGGTGTAAAGTGGTGTAAAGTGTACGCAACTCGGCTGTTTTTATGAGATTGACATAATCATAACATTAGTCTATGATATCGTTATGACGTTAGTTCCACTCGCATCAAACAGTCGGACTATTAGACTAATCAATTTCCATCCGAGAAATTAATTTCTTTCCTTGATTGAGGTGATTTGTTTCAAAGATTCAATCTTTGCTCATTAAAACACTCTGATCCTATTAGGGTTCTGTCATGATTCTGTAGAAGCAGGCACCATGAAAGGTAGCCACTAAATCGGCACCATGAAAGGTAGCCACTAAATCTAATGTTGCTCCCATCTCTGGCTACATTTTTTTATTTTTATTTTTATTTTTTACATTATTATTTATTTTTGCTGCATAGGCTGATCTAGAGTAATAGAATTGATGCGCACTCTCTTTAGGTGCTTACATCCGTAATAGAATCCTCTTTATTTCATTCTCTATTGTGGCCAATAATTGTGGATATCTAGAATCCTGTAAGCTGTAACCACTAAGTCGAGGTAAACCAATGCCAAATCTGTGCCACCAACAAACGAGCAATATGTAAAAATTGAAAGGACTAAAATGCCCTTACACTAAATTTCACACTCCACCCTTCTCTCCGCTACAAACCCTGATAATTATCTTAGTCGGTTCATGAACAAATGAGACTAATAGCAGTTGATTTGGAAGTCTAATTATGCTTTGTTTTTAGCCATATATATTAAAGGAAATAGAAGATCAAAAATGAGTTTCAGATCTTCCAATTCAAAGAAGAATATAAGAGCTGGTGAGGCAGTTAGTGAATTGGGAGCTTTAGTGTTGACGCTTCAGAGCCGAGTAGAGGACTGATTCAATGCCCCCGGGCCTCTGTTTGCTTTTAGTTGGATTTGCCAATATAGATTGGCTTCGTCTTCGGAAGGGCTTAAACTGAAAAATTCTTACCCGGCAGTAATGAAGAAGAAAAGGAAATTAGAAAATTAAAAAAAGATAGTATATATATATATATATATATATATATATAATTTTAAAAAATAATTTTAAATTGGTGGGTGTACACGATGATGATGATATATATAGTTTTAAAAAATAATTTTAAATTGGTGGATGTACATGATGATGATGATATATATATATAAAGAATAATTATAAGTTTATATAATAAAAGTCAAAGGGTATTGAAGTCATTTTAACACTTTTTAAAGTTATTTCCTCTGTCCATTGGCATTATTCGTTGTTCACCTTTGTTTTATAACTTTTTAAGGAGACATGCAATTAATGCATTGTCTCAATTTCAAATTACTAAGTTGTCTTTCAAATTTTAAACAGTTGTAAGATTTTTGAAAGGTTAGAAGGGTAATTATGAAAAGATAATATTTATTTTATTTGACTTTTCAAAATGGACATTTAATTTGGGACACTCTAAAAGGAGAAAATGGATTACTAATAAGGGATAGAGAGAGTAACATATAGTTAGAAGAGTTGTAATGTCATTTTACATACAAAAAAAGTATCTGACACTTTTGAAAAGTAATTTTTGGGGTGTAAGTGAAAAACGAAAGAAATATTTGTAATGTAAGTGATAATTATTTTCGAAAGATGTTTCAATGTAAAATTTAGTCAAACTTAAGAAAGTACCAGTGAAATTAACCTTTTTTTTTTTTAATAAAAAATTATGCTTTTTGATCATGCAAACTGATTGCATTATTTGATTTCCTGTTTGATTTTTTGATGAGAGAAGCAAAATCTGCCTAATCAATGTTATACCGTGCGTCTTTATATATATACAGTATATATATATATATATACTGTATATATTATTGTACTAAACTGTTTACAGGCCTGAATCAATTTGAGTAATGAGTTATCATCAAGGAGCGCTCAGGCTAAGTAAGGGAAAATACAATTGGAGAGGATGGGTTTGAAATTTTGAATCAAGGACACGTGGTGTATTTTAACTGGTAGGTAAAGATTTTTGTATAACCTAATAATTTAAAGATTTTTTTAAAAAATAAAAAATGATTGAAATATAGACTTCCAAGTTCCAACTTGTGGAATGTGAAAGGAACTATTACTCATTTATTATGCTTTAGTTATTTTAAATGTGTGTATACATACAATTATGGCTTGGTTGACAAGCCAAACCTCCCGTGGGGGTAATATATTCCTTTGGTTTTAAGCCTATAAAACCCACTCCCCTTACTTTTCAAACGGCCTTGTGTGTGCATGTTTTTCTTTTATTATTATTATTGCCATTAAAATACCCAGCGAATTTATAATTCATTTCGTCTTTTTTGAATATGTAGGTGAATCTTGTATGTTCATTAATATTTGGTATTTGGAGGGCAGTCTTCTTTTCTCCAATATTTTACTTTAGTCAATAAATAAATAAATGTAAGAACGGACCTGACGTAAAAGGAGCGTTTGACACGTCAAGACAACAGCTGTAGGCCAACCCTGTTTTCTACTGTGGACAAAGACCAAATCCGCGACTGATTTTTACAAGAGACACAGAGGACTGTACTCTTCTCACTTCTCCATCTCTTCCCCTTCTTTTCCTAGTAAATTTTCAATCAAAACCAACCACCAACTCATAGACTTCTTCATTATTGGTCTCCTCCTGCACACATATACTATATATCCATCCATATATATATATTCCAGTAGCTGCAATGGGCTTGGCGCCAAAACATTGACAAGAAAGCTTTTTTTTTCGTTTTTTTGTTCTTCAGCAGATATATTTTCCTTGATAGGTTGGCACAGCTTACCATTGACGAAGCTGTGTCAGACTCTTCCTTGTTCTGCATATATGCTCTGTCTCTTCTGTCCATTACTTTGTCTCTATTTCTACTCTGCTTCCCAGAACAGATATCAACTCTCCCAAATTTCACTTTTATACACCCTACTAACCGGTCAAATTCAATACTCTCAACTCCGACTCGTCCGTACGTCCGGCTATGAAAATATCCGAACATGTTGTCACAACAAGTATCCACCAACAGAGTTTTGTAACCTCCGGCGAGTTTCCGACAAGGTTCCGGCGAAAAGTTGTGAGGATCATGCTCACCGACGCTGACGCCACTGACTCTGAAGGCGAGGACGAGGTTGTACGGAGAGTGAAGAGACATGTCAACCAGATCAACTTTAAACCACCAAAAAGGCCGCGAAAGTGTCAGCCAACTAAGAAGCCAAGCTTGAGCTCGCCGGAAACCGAGCACGATCACCGGAAAAAGATCATAGGCGTGCGTCAGAGGCCTAAGAAGCCAAGATTGAGCTCGCCGGAAACTGAGCCCGCTTTCCGGAAAAAGTTGATAGGCGTGCGTCAGATGCCTAAGAAGCCAAGCTTGAGCTCGCCGGAAACTGATCACGCATTCCGGAAAAAGTTCATAGGCGTGCGTCAGAGGCCGTGGGGTCGCTGGGTCGCGGAGATCCGTGACGGTCGGAAAAGGCTGTGGCTGGGGACTTACAACGCGCCGGAGGAAGCCGCCAAAGCGTACGACATAGCTACCGTTAGATTGAAGGGTCCCGACGCCGTTACGAACTTCCCTAAAGTGGCTATGACGGAAGCGGTCGTTGACGGTCAAAAGGAGGTTGAAGGCGCACGCAAAGCTGCTGCTGCTGCTGCTGCTGCTGCTGCGTCATCGCCCACGTCAGTCCTCCGTCACGACGACTTGACGGCGTTGGACGGTGTCAGTTACGGAGGCGTGGATTTCATGGGTTTTGAATCTTTTGATATGGACGTGCTGTTTAATCTGCCGGATATCGTGACGTCGAACAAGTACTACCGCGAGGAAGATTTCGGCGAGTTTAACATCGACGATTTCGTCGTGGAAGTGAGATAAGTTATCGAGTGTAACGCCACCCTTTTACGGCCTCCCCATTCCAAAACTCTTCTTGTCATTCCAAGGCAATGCCCAAGACGGTCATTTTAGCAAATCCATTAGTATATAATAATCAAGTCTAGGATTATGTGATTATAACTATGAGTTGGTATTGTGCACCGTGTAATGTTGGATGATCATGAGTTTAATAGCTAAAAATGTCTATTACACAAATTTTGAATCGTTAAATGTAATTGTGTTGAACACAATTGTAATTGCTCTATTATGATATGAACATAAAATTATTTGGCATGATAGTTACTACAATTTGTGCACATATGAACATTTTTAAATCTTGCACAAAAATATTGATGAACAAGAGCAATCATTTGGGCCTTCTGCCCATTGAGATCTATACCTTTCAGGTGAATTTCAAGTCTTAAAAAGATATTTCTTTGTCAATAATAAAATATAAAATAAATAAATATTCTCAAATTTTGTGGGTGGACACGGCTCAAGGAGTGGCAAGGGGGAGCCAAGATTTTGAGGTTGAGGGAGCCAAAATTATAAACAATATTACCTAGCTAGAATTTTGGAAAAAAATATATATTACGTGGGCAAAAATATTTTACTATTTATTATATTCATACAAAAATATATCTATTTAAACTTTTTTTTAATTTATTTAAATAAAAAAAAAACTAGTTATTTAAAGACATTTTTTATCAAACTTTCTGAACAAACAAAAATAAAATTTATGCCAAAATTATGAAAAAATTCAATTAATACCGAAAACAAAAATAACTTAAAAAAAATGTAACAATTGAAAATTTAACAAAACAATAACAATGATAAAAAAAATAATAATAATAAAAGATAAAAAAAAAAAAAAAAACACACACACACACAAACAAATTAATAAAATAAAAATTTAGATTCTTAAATCATCGATTTTTGTTGATATTCAAAACTTCAAATGAAATTTTTGTTCTTGATTTTGTAAAAATTAATTTCTTATAAAATTCTTATAAAAGCATTTCAATAAAAATGAAAAAAAAAAAAAAAAAAAAAAAAAAGAAGGTGATGGAAAGAATCATGTATGAGATGAAATTTTAGAATAATAAGGTTATAGAAAGAATAGTGCTTGTAGTCACATTATGGAAAAAACGGTATTTGAGTTGAAATTTTAAGAAAATCACATTAAATTTTTATGTAAATTAATTTTTATCGGGATTCTATAGTCGTTAATTAAATCACTATATAAACTATCTTTTGTTAAATTCTAATTAAAAATAATAATTTTTTTTTCTTAGGAGGCCAAGTATCAATTTTATATCCCCTGGGGTGAGTGGACTTGAATTTCATGACACTAATAATGTAATTTTTTTTACACATAAGTACTACTGTTTGGTCGTACTAAGATATGTGAGTGGACGTGGACTCCAGAATATGACATATGATGGGGTTCATATTTTTCTACACATAATACTCGTGTTTGGTCGTATTTTTGGAAATGAAGGTTGGATGGATAATTTTGATTGAACAATGGTGGCGGCGTGCTAAGTGGGAGGGGAGAGAGTGTGTGGGTAAGAAATGAAATTGGTGTTTGTATGTCACAATCTAGTGTTGAAAAATTTAGACATTTATGCATTTTCTTTTGTTTTGAATTAGTCTTCCGTGTTATCTTTAAATTTCATTGAAATAACGTTTGAATCGTCGTCTCGTCTTTACATGGAAGTTGCTTTCCCCAACATTGACGTGTTTAACAAGCTGGCACTGCTGCCACCTGATCGGTCACGCCATTGCAATTAAAAGCAGTGCTGCTGCACATCTCTCTAATCTCATGCATGGACCAAAATTTTCATATATATACAGTTATACGTACAGTATTTTTATATATGATAATATGAAGGGACGAAGTTAATATTATAGGTTATTGGCCAATTTAGGAGGGGCACGTGCCCTCACTAGACCTTTATTAACTTCGTCCCTTCATATTATCATATATAAAAATACTATACGTATAACTGTATATATATGAAAATTTTGGTCCATGCATGAGATTAGAGAGATTATATTATAGGTTATTGGCCAATTTAGGAGGGGCACGTGCCCTCACTAGACCTTTATTAACTTCGTCCCTTCATATTATCATATATAAAAATACTGTACGTATAACTGTATATATATGAAAATTTTGGTCCATGCATGAGATTAGAGAGATGTGCAGATATATGAAAAAATTTGTAATTTCTAAAATTATATTTTTATTTTTTCTTTTACTCTTCACATTCTTAAATTTCCTTAGTAGAAAAATTCAAATTTTTCTTCCTTAATTAAATTTTTTTAACTATTTCCTTTTAAAGTTTTCTCATTTTTCTTTCCTTTTATATTTTAATATTTTTCTTCTTTTTTGTCTTTTGAATTTTATAGTTGTTATATATACACACACACTCCGTATTGTTTTTATTTTTTATTTTTTTGGCAGTATGCCCCTCACTTGGAAATCCTGGCTCCATCACTGATAATATGGAGCGTTAAAAGAAAATTAATAATAATAAGAGTAAATTGCATATAGCATTTACGAGATTTTCATTTAGTGCATCTAGATAGAATTATGCGCCAATTAATACTAAAGTCTAAATTGATTAGTTGACCTTTGGAGATGAAGGTAAATTTACCTATATGACCTCAATGCACAGAACCATTGTTTAAAAGAAAATTCTGAAAGAGAGTGGGTGAGTATAACTTACTATGTTACCCCTCTTATATTCTCCTCATTTTTTATGGTTTATTTATCATTTTAGGTTTCAATAAATCAGATTTACCCTAAATCATTTTTATTTGTTTATTTGTCACATTTCGATTGATCATTTTAAGGTTTACATCTAAAAAAACCAATATTATCTCTATACTTTTGTCCTTTTGGAATGATGTAATTTCAATTCAATTAATGGACAATTTGGTCTTCTCACAATAGCAAGATTATTTTTATCCAAAAATACAGTTACCATACATTGATTTGATGCATCACTCAAGAAGTGGTCATGTGTTAGGTCAATGAAACCACAAGAGTTATTGACGAATATATAGCGCATATTTCTATCTAGGTGCATGAGATGAAAACATCGTTAGTGTTATTTGTAATTTGCCCTAATAATAATAATAATAATATGGAGTGCTTTTATACTATTTTTTTTTTTTTTTTTGGTTATAAAGTTAGTGGAAACCCTATCATGTTATTTAAGAGTATCAAGAGTCTTGTCGTCTAGCGGAATCCCTTTTACCTTTTAAAATAAGAAGCAAAGTGAATATGTGAGTTTCTTATCAGGAATACACAAAAAAAAAATGTTATTCAAGAGTGTAAAATAGAGTACACTGCATAATAAAATTCTCAACCTGATCATATTATTATTATACATTTGAATGATTCAACAATTTTTTTTTCTTGATATAATCTAATTTAGTGGGTTTTTTTTTTCATGTTATTAAACCTGAATTATAAGGAATGGAATTAAAGTTTTTTCGATTAACATCATCTTGACAGAAAGGATAATCCGGAAAATTTGTTAGAGACAGGAGACTGATTTTCATATGAGAGACACTCATTCTCTTCCATATACAGTGAGAGAGAAGCTCCTTATATAAGTTTCTTTCTTTAGATAAAGAAATAGAAAATTAAGGGAAAAAAATTACCTTACAAAAAATAAAAATAAAAACTGGCAACCAAATCCCTATGGTATGGTATAGACAAAGGGGAGCAAATCCTCTATGTGTTGTGAAGTTTCTTGATGTTTGTTTTACTTGATTAACATTTGGTCACGTGGGTCTTTCTTTTGCACGATTTGAGATCTCGTTTGGTTGGATGCGGCAATTACAAAGGTGAAAAATATTAACTTTTTTGTTACTACATTCACCTTAAAAAAAAAAAAATTACGATAACTAATGTTACATATCAACCTAACTATTGTTATTTAAAGTTAAATTTTATTAACTTAAATTATAACAACCAAAAAAATACTTTTATTTATTAATTTAAAAGAGTTTCATCACAAGATTAAAGTTTAGATAAACTTGATGTTCAAAATAATGAAAATAGTCATAACCTTTTCTTTTTTTCTTTATATATATATATAGGATTCTATTAGTGTGAAGTGGCTATACGTTGACCGATTGGGACTTTCAGTCGACATTTGGTCTATAGACGTCAACCGGTATTTTAATTTTTGGGTTAGATTTATGTATGACATTAGTTATTTAGTACTATGTGAATACATTTTTTTAATGGTGAAGGTGGCTGGAGTGTGGTTTTTTTTTTTTTTTTTTCTTCATGTATACATGATTCAGTTGACGTTAAGTGGCTATACGTCGATCGCTTGAAAGCTTTAGGTCGACAACGTCTGGTCCATAGGCGTCGATCGATATTTCTAATTTTTTGAATTAAATTTATATGTAACATTAATTATTTGGTACTATATAATTATCTTATTTTAATAATAAAAATAATAATAAGAGATTTAATTATTTTGTATAATTATCGCATCTCAATAACATTTAAATAAATAAAAATATAGTCAATATACTCGAAATAATGCGCACTCATAAAACAACAGGACAAAATAACTTGAAAGAGTCGGGACCTAGACAGAGAGGAACATTTAATACGAAAGTGGGCAGCTGACTCCGAAATTCCACATAGGCACCTAGTTGGGTCAGGCGCACCGTACGCACGCACTCAGTGTGTGTTTTATATATAGTGGGGTAATAGACAAATCAATAAGAAATTATAACCACACAGCACAAAATTCACAGGCGGCTGCAATCGGGTGCAAATCCAAAATAATTGGCTTGAATCAAATGAAAGAAGGGATCAAAACAAATTTGGAATGGATATGGTGGGTCCTCTAAACAGACACAAAAGAACTAAATCGCCCAAATATGGCATCGTTTTTTTTATATATAAATATATATATATATATATATCACTGTTCACAGCCGCCTCCCACTATAACCAAAAAATTATTTATAACCTGTCGCGAGTACGAAGGGCCACCAGATTCATTATCAAGCATCGATATCTGCATTTGTCTGTTTAAGATATATGTATATAGTAGTATATGTGAGATGTGATATTGTCATATTGAGTTTCGGAAAAAGTTTTTACAACTCCAGTTACTATTGAATCTAAATATCAAATATCGTGGAGTATTATGTACAAGTATTTTGAAGTGCTAGTATCATTTTTCTGTACAAACAATTTCAATTGCACCTACATATGATATGTGTAGACTGTAGAGATATAAAGTTAAATG